GGGAAACTAAGGCAGAGCACCTGCTGGATTGTGTCTTGCCATAGAGTGGCAGTCTAATGCCATGTTACAGAGCTAAATTCATACTGTTGAAGAGATCACTGGTATAATCATTTCCTCTCAGTGAAAAAGACTTTTTTTTTTTGCTAAGTCTTAGAAAAAAACCTTGTGTTTGAATGGACTTTTCTAAACCATCCTTTCTGGTCTGGCCCTTCTGTACTCAGCCCAGCCCTGGGATTCTCACTCTCCAGCTGTGGGACTAAACAGCTCCGCAGTGTTACGCGCTTGTTGGCTGCACCCAGCAGTTTGTGCTTTCGCTGTTCACTGTAGATCTTGGCTACCCTATAAAATTACAACTACCTATGAAGTGAATTATTCAGTTCTACAGCTGAGCAGAAACCATGTTGATTTGATTTACTGTTTTCTATTTTGTCTATTGATTTTTGGGTAGTCCCAATAGTGTGCTCCCATAAAAGTCCATACAGAACTTTGTACTCAGTTTAACAATTTTATTTACAAAGGGTGTTCTTGCCTCCATGTCCCCTTGCCAAGTTACTCCAGGCACGAAGAACTAAATTTAATTTCTATGATTAATAGAGCACAAAGAAGATATATATTACACAACTTTCTCCCTGCTTTGTTATTTGGGGTGCCAAAATTGCAGTATGCTGTCTGGGAACAGCTAGGAAGTGGGAGAGTTCCCACCTGACAGATCTTAGCTGTTAAAAGGCAGAAAGAACACAGATGGTTGAAACCAGATTTCTGTATAAAATGAGCAACCAGTTTTCACCTGCATATCTAAGCAGATAAGTTTGTTGCAGGTATCAGTACAAAAGTAGGCTTCTGAAAACGCTTCCGAGAAATATGTTTTCAGATGTTACAGCCACTGACAAGCAATACCACACTGAATACCCAGGGCTCACAACTTCTATACAGGAGGGACTGCGTAAGGAAGCCTGCTATGGACTCAAATTTTATAGCGTGGTATTGCCTTTTGAAAGGCAGATACTGAAAATAGATAGGCTTTCAAGTGAAAAATCAAGAATTCTTCCCTCTATCCCATCACTTACAGAAAGAACTAGCGTGTTTAGAAGGCAAGCAGAGCATATTTTGAGGGTAGCATTGTTATCCCCAAGGTGTTTTACAGGGGTTATCGCTATCATTCTCCCCATCATAACAGGGGGAAAAAATCACCAACTTCCTTGCTTTGTGCATTCCTCATTTGTGGTAACTCAAATATCAGAACCGTATCTGCACTCAAAGAAGAGTGGGAGTTTACCTTTCCCATTACCGAGTAGTCTATTCCTCTCTCCTCATGCTGGTCTTGGAAACCTAGGTGATCTTTTGTAAAGTTTAAGGAAGCCCAGGTGAGCTTTCATAAATATGTCTCAGGGATATTAATGCCTGGCTGACCACACCCCTGGTCTTCTAACTCTCCTGGAGTTTCCCAACAGCAGTCTTTATCTTCTAAGCAGCAGATTACTTGTTCTTTCAGTCCACTCTGTATTCCTGCAGATGAGCTAAAACCTAATTCCACACAGAGCTCCCAGCCAAAGAAAAGGACACTGTTCCTTTTCACCCGTTGTGAAATAACTCCTATGCTTACCTGGACTTTAATTAAATTTTACCCATGCATTATCTTTCCCTTGCCCTGTTAGACAGTTTTCTCAGTTTCATGGAAGGGCCTCAGAGTCCATGGTCTTTCTGCTATTTCTGCCTGTAGTTTATAAAAAGCTATGACCAGAAGTTAATTATCAGTAGCAAGAGGTGCAGGTGAAAGTCAGGACTCTGAAACTGGGAAGGATGTTCTCACCATACCTCAAGGTGACAGAATTCAGAGAGATGAATTCTGGGCAGGTTTTCTTTTCTCCAAAAGTGACTGGAGGGCAATTCAGACCTGGGCCATAAGCCAGGTGGGCTTCTGGCGTGTTTCACACACAAAACTGTGACAGAAGTGTTTGAAAACTTTAGGATGAGCAGGATGGCTTTAGAAAGTACATGGGGTCATGAGCTGATACGTTTTCTCCATTAAGCTCCCCAGGGATACAACAGAGGTAAGCTTTTGGTGGAGAATAAACAAGGGACAGACAGAGGGCAAATTTCCCTCCAGATCCACAAGTCTAGCCTTCTGATGACTTTAAGCCTTACATGTAAAGAAAAACAATTATCGCTCAGTAAAATACTTTGAATTGTTCTCTCTGGTTTAATACTGCATATAAACCAGAAGCAAATCTGCGAGAATAAAAGTTTTGTGAATGATTTGCTATTATATGTCTTTGTCTGACTTCCCCAGCCCTAGGTACAGTGAATGAGATGCCTCATACTTCACACCTTGTGCAGTTCTAGGACATGACTCCTCTCCTTCCATGGAAGCTGAGGCATCGCACATAAAATAGGTCAGCTGAATTGCCTCTAGCAATTGGCTGCAACACAGGATCAGATAACTATAATCACATGAGAACATTTCCATTGAACTTGAACCTTAGTGTTAGGGTCCAATTTTCAGAAGTAATTTCACCTAGCTTGCAAGTGCTTAGCATTCACAAAAGCAGGCCCCAGAGGCTAAGGAAGGTTACCAAATCAATAGCCCTCTTTGGACTAGCATCCACTTCTCACTGGGGAAACTCTTTCTCTCCTTTATACTGCATATTCTTTCATAATATACTCTCAGCAGCTGCTGAACTAATCAAATTAATCTATCTGGAAAGGCATGTACAACAATGCCAAATCTAATGAAGCAAGAAGATACATAGTTTCTATAATGTCTAATTTGCTTAAAAAAAGACTACATTTATTCCATGATTTGATTCCAAACATATTATGGGCTCCCGTAAAAATGCCAAAGAATCGGATGCTTCCAGGCTAACTGGAAATGAAACATTTTCAGTGCATTGACTTGTTATTAAGATGAGAGGAAATAAGAAGGAAGAAAAACGTAATCTGTGACCCAGGGAAAAGGAAAACTTAATGTACGAGCTGTATGTAAACAGATTGAGTGTTGGCATTGCGCAAAACTAAGACATAAAGCGGAAAACTAAGAGGATTTGAGCAAAGAAAATTAGAATACCGAGTCAAAGAACACCTTTGATCTGGTATTTATGCCTGTCGTTGAAGATTATATGTCTCAAACTTTGTCTTATCATTTCAGTAACAGCAGGATGTAACTGTATGCAACTTCTTTGAACATAAAGTTCACACAAATGGGAGATCTCCCATTTCCCTCCTTTCTCTCCACTTCGATCATTAAAATGTACTTTCTGCTCTACTCCCTTGATAACCTTTATATGAAGATAGTACGAGCTTTTGCCAGTTTCATATTGTGGCTTTCTGTAATGACGTCTGCTGCCTTTTTAGTAGTAAAATGCAAAATGATCTTCCAAAAAGGTCCTGTCCCTCAAAATGTCCAACACCATTGTTTGTTGCCTCATACCTACAGTGTGCTGCATGCAAGCACCGTGTATGCAAGAACATAGAGTGATGGATGTGGAGTTCACATCAATGCCTTTCGAAGTTCATACCATTAATGCCACATCCACCATTGCCCTGATATATTCATGTGTCTGATGTCAGACGTAGAGAAGAGGGGAAGAGCACATCCTAGAAAATGACCACAGAAACTCAGACATTGTCAAAGTCAAAAATTGTCAGGTGATTAGCCGCCTCTGAGCCCAGTTCTGCCACAGCTAGTTTAAATCTGGCTTGGTTGTGTCTACCTAGCACTGCAGGGCAGGGATACTTGATGAAATCTCTCTGCCTTTCACAACAGGTCTGCTAGTAATTATTTTTAAGGTCTCACGGTTTGAGATCCTGTAGAGTCAAAGTGTCTCCTGGCTAATGTTCAGTGGCCTGGTGACACAAGGTAAACGCTACCTTCCTTAAATGACTATCAAGGAAAGGGAATCTGCAGCACTATAGGTGAGTGCCTTTGATATAGAGGCACAGCTCCTGTTCATGCAAAGAAATGCAATCCCTTTTTCCTCAATTTAAGGTTAGGTACTGCAAGTGCTAATTTAAGGAAAGGTACGTGAGAAGGGGAGTCTGCTGAGCTGAGGGAATACAGTTCCCACCGTGACTATCAGCCTTCTCACAAAGGCTTTCCAGAAACAGTTCACACCATCTATTTTTATTACCAGCTGCAATGAAGCTAATAGCTTGCATTAGGGTCATTTTGACGGTGGGTGGAAGGCCTAAACTCTGTGATATTCAGGCTGCAGCATCTGCTAGAACAGCTTTTTCACACTCTTTGCCTAATTCTCTATTGCAATTAAACTTCACTTTACCACAGTGAAAACCAGCCTTCAACTGGGAATACAGCAATTCATATCTCTTTGCACAGTGCAACGTAAAGCAAGATTTATGCGAATAAGAATCTGCTCACATACACCCTAGCTAAACACAACTGAAAAAGAAAGCAGACAACTCTTGAAACAAGTGGTTATTTGCTGTTCTCTGCCTAAGGTATTTGTGTGCTTTTTTTTTTTTTTAACTGAAGAGCAGAAAAGGATGATGTCAGCGGGTTTTATCCCTATTTTTTGTTTATTTTTGGAACTAGACCAACAAATAACCATGACCTAAATTCTACAAGACAGAAGTGCATACAAGCACATTGTTAAATGTCAGAATCTATTTGAGTTTGGACAATTTCAGCAGAACTGTACACATACATCTTCTTTAAAAGCAGACTACAAAAAACTAATTCACCAATACAGTGAAAATGAACAGTAAGGTCTAATATTTAAGACAGATAGTGAAGTCAACCTTTTAACTTCTTTGTCTTCATACACGGATAATGTGGATATAGTATTAAAATTCAGACATAAATCTGTCAAAGGCAAAAAAGATAACGGCACTTTTAAGTGAGCATCAGTTTTAAACTGTCATTAAAGTGAAGCTGGAATCTGGATGGAACAAGCTTCAAACTGGGCATGTGCGGACCCTGCTGTCGCCTGTATTTAAATGGAAGCTGCTGCTGCTGCCCTTTGCTAAGCTGAAGATGGAGTGAAGCAATCTGAAGCTCTAGTGAGAAACTCTGCACTGGATCTCACATTATTCCAGAGAACCTGACAATCTGCTTTACACACACACACAAAAAGGTAAATTGGCTGACTTAAATTCAGAGGAGAGCTTTTCTTTGTTTTCGCTTAGATTTTGTTCACCTGAATAATCAGCCCATTCAAAGGGGGATCTCTTGTCCCTCTGAGGACCCCAACGGCACCAAAATTGTGGAGTCCTTCAATGCATGGAATGACTCAGAAGCCAACGCCTACACACTGATGGACCTGCCTCTTAGAGCCCCAACAGTAAGTGTTTTCTGTCACTAAAAGCTGTAGCAAGTAGTTCTGCTGGCAAAGCTGGCATTTATAGAACTGTAAATGGCCATTTAAGGTGCATGTACACATTTAATGCTGTAATGCAATAATGAACAACATAATGAAAACTTAAAAATCTTCTTTTTATTCCTTTAACTATGTATTTACTGCAGAAAGGACTGTAGAAGCAAGTGTTTTTCAGCAGAGTGACACGGGCAGAAGACAGGGAGGAATGTCTAATGTAAAGTACACCAAATATGTTGCAAACTATCAAAACAACATGTTCTTGTGCACTAAACAGCTGTTTAGCAGTTCAAACACAATGCTCTCTTGTGTTATTATTCAAGATGGGAATCCCCATCATTTCTGTAATAGTCTGTAATTGTAGTGGAATGCTTATGTAAATGTTAGAGTTGTTATCTGCAGTTACCCAAGAGAGCTGTTCAGAAGGTTTTCCCAGGTAAGCTCTATCAAAGTTCTTTCTCAGTTGTTAAATACTAATTTCCTTAGAAGTGTGAAGGTGAGAATGTGTTGTGATGACACTTCAGGATGGAATTTATTTGGGCATACTAAAAATATTCTCCATCCCACCCCACAAGCCCAAACCAAAGGAGTTCAGAAGTCCTCTTCCTGGTTGTGTATTTCAGCATACTATTAGGACTACAAAGTTTTGTTCGCCTGCTGTTTATATGAAAGTCTGTTTAAAAGTAAATAATAAAAAACTGATCCAAGCTAATTTTTAAAGTTTTTAAAATCTGAAATTCAACTTAAAATCTTGATGTGGTCGCACCAGGTATTTTGGCATGGCCCACGTAACACAGTGGACACTTAAAAATTGTGTGCAAGTTTCAAACGCTCCAAAAGTTTTTATGCATATAGTATGTTGGATTGGGTGTTTAGTTTGATCCTAACTTATAATGAAGAACCAGTAAATGTTTTATTATTTGCATAGTAAAAATGCAGTCTATTTATTTTTTTAATAAAACCTGGATGTGCGCAGTGTATTACAGGAAAATAAACAGAGAAGTGTCCTGAGCCAAGGCACTTACAAACTAAATTAGATGGCTAACGTATGAAAGAGGATAGCAGAACATAGCAGGGAGGGAGAAGAGGAACTGCAGAGCGCATGGCAAAATGGAAAAGGATGCTGGGAACAGAGTGATTTACATCGCAAAATTAAAAATTGATTTTTTTCTTATTCTGCTGAAAGAGGTAATTAGCTGTCCGTTTCCTCTCCCTAGGTCAAGTGACTGTATTTTCAAACTTTTGCATTTTGATTTGATGCAAAGATTGGTTTAAGAGTGTTTCAGGACTGAAAGCAACATGTGCTGCTTGTGGTTGAGATTAAATCCAGAAGACAGGATACAAAATCTGCTATCCAAATTGCTCAACAGGACAAACATCATCTATGGAAAGCCCTGCTGCCTACTGGGAAGAGGGCTTAGCAGTTGGCATCACCCTGCTGAAACCATAATTGAGGTGGGATTACGCTCCTCTTTGTGCTGCCTGTCATCACAGAGCAAGCGCCTACAGAGGCAATCTCAGAAATCAGAGCAAGGAACTGTGAAGAAAAATAAGTGCTATCAGTTGTTTGAGGCCTCTTGTAGGTAGGCAGTACAAACACTGCACCTAGAAGCCCTAGGAAATTACAGTATTTCTGTTCTGATAATTTTTCTAAACTATATGATTTGTTGTAATGTAACAGGCCTAACACTACCATTGGTTGTGTAAGTCATACTGTGTAAATAAGCAGCTTCATTACCTGTTTATTGGAAAATTAAGAACAAAGAAACCTGATACACTGCCAAAGTCAATGTGGGACAGTTCAAATCCCCAAATGACCTTATGAGGATTTCTTCTTTCCCTAGAAGTATAAACTAAACCTTGCTTTATACTCTTGCCATTGGGAGAATGTGAGGAGTGGGCTGTATCAAATATGATTTATATTCAGTACAAGTATTTACATGCATGGCCTTGCTCCTAACAGCCATCATCACTGTTAGCTTTAGTAGGACTTCAGTAATCAACGTCTCCAAGTGAACAGTAATTAGGTGATACGATTTTTTTCACTCTGAAAAAGAACAGATTTTTTTTCCCCAATAATAGTTGAACTGTGTTCTTTGCATGTTGTCCTTTTTTCACTTATACACAAATATTTTTCTCATGCTATGGGTGGGGGGGAGGGTTGGACTTTCAAGTATGGTATGTCTTCTGGTAGAAGTTATTCAGAGGTGAGCTGGTTTGGTTGGTTTTGGGGTTCTTTTAATCGATTATGAAATAACTATTTAGAAAACCTTCTCTTCAGGAAAATGTGTATAATAAACAGATTCCCAAGACAGAATAGATGCAGGCATCAAATATTCCTGGGTTTTGTATCTGATCTAGACTTCCTTCTAACCTGGGCAAATCACTTAGGAATCGTGGTTTTGTCCTGGACTGCAAAGGAATTCCTTTATCCTTTTAACTCTCTTCAGGCCAGTGTCTTGCAGGGTCTTGACAAACTTCATGGTGAAATACAAGTTCTGCCCTACACTGATGTTCTCTGTGGCTGATTCATTTTTATCCCTTCTCTGCTTGCACTGAGCCTTAGCAGAAGGGACTGTGCGCTGCTCTCTTCCCGAAGAAGCAGGCTGGCTCCTCAGATTGGCCCTCCAGGAAGAATTCTGCCTCCCTTGTAACCAGCTGTGGCAGCAGGCCATAAATACAGAATAACGAGGCTCCATGTTGTGCTGCAGCCTCCACAGACAAGGCCAGAACAGCAAGGATTTAGACACATTTATCTATCGAACACTTCCTTTTCTCCAAACTCCCAAAAAGCATCTCAAGTTTCTAAGTCTCAGTCAAGTTTACTGAATGATAACTGAAAACATGGTCAGTTCTGTTTTGGCTGTTTTGTTGTAGGCAGTAGACAAGCATTCCTTTAAGGAGAACAATGAGCATTTTAAGAAGGCAGACTGTATTAAACCTAGCTGTTTCCCTCTATTCTAGTGTTTCCACAAGGACACACTTAAACCTGCTGGAAGGAAATACACTAATGTAGAGCAATTTCATAACTTCATAACTTCTTGCCACTGACTCTATTGATGCAAATGACAGAGTAGGATTTAGAAAAGGATTACACCTATATATGGAGGATGAAAATATCCTCCACTAAGATTATCCTTTCAAAGGGATAATAACCTTGGTTTAGGGTACAAACCAACTGCTAAGGCCCTATACTGAAAATGAAATTCCCACATCACTGTTCATTATGCATGTTTCGCAGCTCTGTGAAACACCCAGTCATGGCTAAAGGCAGGCTACTGTTTTGTCAGGAATGCTGGTCTGAATCAGTGTGGCACTTCCCAAGTTCCTTACCATGCCAAAATTATCCATCTGATTCTGCAAAACTGTAGTGTAAATGAATAATAAATGACATGCCTATCAGAGATTAAAAACACAAATTCTTTTACAGTTCTAGCAAAAGGCCAGTTTTCATATACACCCAAACAATATTATAAAACCTGCTTTCAAGGTTGACTAAAATGCCATCCTTGGCTAGAAGATAGGTTCTCCAACTGACCCTCGGTACTTACGGTGAAGAAGTTTTGTTATATTATAGTTACTACCTTGGTGTCCTCCACAGCTTCCATGACCATTTTGTTTGCTTGCTTGAGAAATGTGCAATATTTATATTGACTGAATGTCAGGAAGTTGGTGCTTCCCAATTAATTGCTTCCTACAGAATTAATACCGATCTAAGCCACCCACAGCATGGTAGGCCTGTGGGTATACTGGCACCCAATGGTCCAGAGCCTCAGGTACAAGCATCTTTTATTTGTTGACTCAGGAAAGCTGTAGTCCATTGTCCATCCACTGGAAAATGTCCAACCTCTTAGCTTCCAGTTCAGTTTCTTTGTGCATTTGGTGATGTTTTGAACCATGTTACGTTAAATAAATTGTTGTCATAACACTTGGAAGAGAAATAATGAAGTGCTGGTTTGCCTGCTCATTTTTCTTATCTTCAATACGAGGTGTTTATAGAAAGAAGGCTGAACAGAGAAACGTGCAAGGCAACAACGGTATGTATTATCAATGCAATTGAAATAGTTCAGAGTATTCTCAAGGGACAATTGCTACAGTGGGGATTGCAACAGTGGGATTTTTATTCTCCCCTGCCAACCAAGTACTTATACCATGGGGTGACAACAGAAGACAGAGACTAAACAAGGCTAATCTGCTGGAGAAACTGAATAGAGAAAAGCTTTGGGAATTGCCTGATTTCCTGATTATCCTGCTGACCTGATTTCCTCAAGCACTATCTTTTTCTCCCTGTCTTTTCTTTTGACGTACAGTTCCCTTAGAAGATCTAGAGCTGAACTTGATACAGGCACGTGTTTTTATCTTCCAGTAAGAAAGCTGTATGTATGCAACTTAGTGATGAATCTGAAGTGCTTAGGCCTGATCTAATGCCTTGTCGGTCAACTAGTACCTTTCTTTGACTTAAAGAGGCTTTGAATCAGATCTGTATTTCCAATAAAAACAGTGAAATTACTTTTTTTAATAACTGACTTTTTCCTCTTAGGGAACAGCCAGAGTTGGACCCTGTGGTAAAAATTCTAGGCCTACAGGAAGTCCACACTGAAACGTAAATTTATTTCTCTTTGCCACAGACCTTTTCTTTGCCTATATATTTAATATTATTTATGTCCTATTGCTGCTCCAATATAAATATCATTCCTTTCTTTTTTTCACACTTGACATTTTTATTGACTCTGAACTTGTTTCATTCTTGAATAAGTAATTTTAGTCTTCTACTGTCCCTTAAATAACCTTTCCTCTCTTGTGATTTCTCTGTGTATTTATATTTATCTTTTAAATTTTTCCTTGTCCTTAGTCCTCCACAAATTTAATTCAAATTAAAGCCACTTTAATCTGTTCTTTGTAGCCAAAACAAGCTCCTTTAGTTGCTTCATTTCTGTTACCTTGATCTGATTAAATGGATAGCTACAGGGAAAAACATCAGAAATCTCCATTCCATTAATAATCATCATTAACTCTGTGTAGAACAGCAGCTAAAAAATATTCTAGCCACGAGGCTAAGGAGAAAAAAAAAACCCAAAAAAACCAAAAACAAAGAACACCCGATCTCATTTATTTAAAACAGTTTTATCTCAGACTCTCCCTCCCCACTTGCTGTTAGTATGGGATTTTTTGTTATTTTACTGGCAGTGTGTTAAGCACAGCAATTTCTACCTAGGCAAGATGCCCATTGATGTTGATGATGTGACACCAACTTACACTTTGCTGCAGGAACCTGAACAATAAATGTCATGATACTGTCATTCAGTTAGTGTACCAACCTTAATATTTTGCTCCAATTATAATAACAGCCAGAGCTACATTTTCTCTCTCTAAGATTAGAGTATTTGTCCAGCATTTAACTGCTGCTAATGTAGAAACCCAGGGAGCGTGCTCTACTTGTTGAGGATTGCTGTGGGCAGATCTTCAGCACACAAGCAAAGACAATCTCTTCCAGAATTCCAGACACTCCTGGGGTTCGCCTCTTGCTACTAGCACATTGGTTTTAAATACACACTGTCTCTAATAACTTCAGCCCAATCTCACAGATGCATTCAGAAGTAACGTCTGCCTCTATTGTCTGAAAATACCCATTTCCTTTGATAACTGGGGTGTTGCCAAAGGCATTTCTGAGTTGCACTCTAACGGTGAACGCCAACTACTAACACAACTGTAGCATAAAAGGGAGAACTTCATATCTACCTCTGTGCACTTTCCTCCTTTCCTACCAGCAACCTTCCTTTTCCTGGGAAGGAATGACTGCATATGACAGCTGTACCACCACCTGCCAGTACTTGTGACTGTAAAGAACATATCCAGCCTCCTAGCATTATTTAAGCTTGGTATGGGCACAGACCTTGGTACAGGCAATTCCCTTGTCCTGGATCCTAGGCCACAGCCAGGTTGACAGCATTCACAGCAGGCTACAAACAATCCAAAATACTTCCTGGGCTTTTCTCAACCCTGGTGTGGTTCTCATAGCTCAGTAGCTGAGGAATGCCATGGCTGCAGCTTGCAGGCTTGAGCTATAAGCAGTGGTCGTGGCATGCCATTCCAGAGTAAGTGCCACCCTTGATGAGAAAAGCCTGGCTATGGAGCAGGATCTGTCCATGCAGATGAATTAAGATGGGGCTTGGTATTTTTCATGAATACAATAGCTGGTTGGAGCTGATGCCAAGACACATTTAGGACAGTGGCAGTTGCACAGAGGTGAGTGTTTAAGTCTCCTTGCTTGACCTTGTATCAAAAGGCAGCAGAACAGTGATGGTTTGGACAGCTGTTCTTCTCTTCAATTTGTTGCAAGTCATCCTGCTTCCTGGGTGCAGCCTTATTGTTTGCTTCATTACTAATCTGGGGTCACTTGGCCTAAAATGTGTTTGTGGCTCCTGATACTTAACTAAAAAATGTTTATAAATTATTATTTAAAATACTGTAGTCTTCAGAGTTGGCTACTGAATTTTGCTATGAGTTATTAATTGATTAAGACACAAATGCTTTCATCAAGTGCTTTATCACATACTTCACAGAGAGCAAAATACGTTCATTCAGTGCAGAGCGAAAACAGAACTGGTATGGAAACCAGGCATAAGGTATAAAGTATTTGTGTTTTAGTTTTTATGATCCTTAATTTAGTTTCCAGAAAACTCATGTTCAATGCTGCCAGGCTTTTGGTAACTAAGTCTTGAGGGCAGCTAGCAATTCAGTGTTATTCAGTGGGAGAAATGAAACAGCCATACTACTAAAGGAGTAAATGCATGTTTATCCATTGAAGATCATTTCTACTTAGTTAGAGAAGTCTAGCCAGTTATGTCAGAGGACAACAGAAATCATACTTCATAGGTACAGAAACTTTCCTGAAATGAAAACTACAGAAAACTTACTTCTTGTTAAGTACTGCATTACTTGATGTCAGATGCTATGAAAAGGGTCCCTTCCTGTCTCTCTTTTTCTCTTCTATATCCTTATCTTTCTTTTGGGAGAGAACAGATTGCTTTTCTTCACCAGAATTCTAAATCAACAATAAACATATAAACCGCCCTTTGACCCTTGCACTGCTGATGGCATATTTATCCCCTGAAGATGATCAACAGTAAATGTAATTTGAAACCCATTAGCTTATTCTGACTTCTTTTGCTTGCTGTCTTTTTGCATTCTTGAACACTTCCTCTTCTAGAGAAGCACATGCCGGCTTATTCAGTGAAGTCTGACAATATACCTATGACCTCTTGTTTACTCCACAGAAGATGACAGTGCAAGATGTTCCTGGTGCCTTTCCTACAGTGGATGTCCCAGACCATGCCCATTATACAATTGGAGTAGTCATTCTTATAGTGGGGATCACAGGAACTCTGGGTAATTTCCTGGTCATCTATGCTTTCTGCAGGTATCTCTCTTTTGGATTTTTTTAAAATACTCAAATTTATGAACTTTAACAGTACCTTGACTGTGCTCTGCAAATGCAGTGCAGGCATACTATCAGATTACTATGCAGACATAGTAAAATGCACCAAGAGACATTGCTGTAGGGAAAAAAGTGGCAACCTGCCATTTCCCTCTGACTTCTTCCCATTAACCATAACCACAGCAAAATTGCTAGCAAAATTGCAGAGAATCACCCAGATATGCCAAGCAATAGAAAAGCAGCCAAAGCAGAAACCTTCCAGTGAATTTTTTTCTACTGGCTGAACTGTGTCTGCACTGCACCAATGGGATGTTTTGTACCTGTGTCTTCTCTATTTTAGATGTTTCCTTCCTCCTGCTGCTTACTACTGAGTTTCTTTTCCCCCTCTGTTCCATGTCTCCATGTCTCTTGTTTTCACATTTTCTAACACTTGGTTTATTTGCTTTCAACTAAAGCATGTTCCAACTTTTATATCTGAAGGCAATTGGATCTCTGACAACAATGTGATATTTTCACCATTCCTGTTCACTCATCCTGTTTCTGTTTTGTCATACTGGGGCAGAGCATTGGCATGATGTCCAGGCCAGTGAGCTTCTACTTCATGATTGGTCTTTAGGCACTACTGTAATACACTAAAATAATAGCAATTATATGATAATTTGGCTGTGTTAACTTAAATCACTGGAGTGTGGATGAAAGCAGTCTGGGTCTCAAGCCTATTTTTATGAGGTGCATTAAACGGTAGGTTTCAGTATGTGCATTCAGAGTAGATGCCAACACTTAAGTGTGAATGACGTGGCCTTAAGAACAGAAAAGGTGTTGGCATACAGACCAGATATGTGAGGATGAAGTACATGAGCTAGCTTGGCTGTTTGGCTGGTCCCATACAAGAAATCCAGTCATGGCAGTTGCAGTTCCACTGGAGGGCACAGCTTGTCTTCATTTGAAGATGTTATGGAGACAAAAAAGGGATACTGATAGCAAAGTAACAAGTACATCGAAAGTTCGGAGAACACATAATTTATTTATTTAGAAATAAAATACATTAGAAATATTTAGGAATAAAATTCAGAAATTTTTTATGCTGAGGGTGGTGAAGCACTGGCCCAGGTTGCCCAGAGGGGTGGTGGATGCCCCATCC